GGTTACCATTTCCGGACTTCATTTGGCCGGACTGCCACGCAGAGACCTCGGGTTCGATTCCCGGGCTGGGAGAAATATTTGTACGGCCTACATTTATTTCTCTCGTGAGTTTGGGTGTAATTTGTGGTTGTCTATCTGTGTATCCTTGGCACACGCGACACAGGGTTTTCTTTAGTGCGGGGCCATAAGTGTGTGCGTTATTTTTATTAAGGTTTATTGGATTCATGTTAAATGCCCGTAAACGATCAAATAATTTGTAATTGTGGCACTTCACATGGTTATTTGTGTTTCGTCGTCTTAAATTGGTATCTTAAAGCACCAAGTTACTGAAATGCAAAAAATGAATTGTATATACAAATTATGCAGGCTGGTTTCTTATCACATTTCCTTCATATTCACACATTGGCTTTTACCTATTCTTAGGGCGCGTTCAAATTAGCCGCTGTTCAAATTAATTCAAGTTATAATAATTAGTCACTTTTCATACAATTTCTAGAAGCGCTGCAACCGCGCGGTGGCCGCGCGACAGTCGCGCTGCAGTCACGGTTAGGGAGTACACTCCCATCGTTAATTTTTCAAATTAACTACGATGCACGAAAATCGTGTTGATGAATTTATAGAAAATGCAAAACAACACCCTGCAATAGAGATATCAGTTCCGCCTGTCATTCTAATCGACTGGAAAAAAGGCATGGGAAAATTTATTGACAATTTTGAAACTAAAACTACAATTGAAAAAAACATAGCAGGTGAGTAATTTCTAATACCTGTATGTGAAGTATGTGCCCCAAGAACTAGGTAAAAGTAACGTTTCTTCGTCAGAATCCATCGTGTAACTGAGTCGAAAGATAAAACATCACTAAAAATTTGGTCGCACTTCAGAAGCGCGACGCAACCGCGCGGCGGCCTGCAGCGCTGCTGCCGCGCATCTAATCTGAATGCGCCCTTAAAGTAACTGTCTATGTGTGTGTCCAAGGAACCCGCGATACAGGGTTTCCCTACTGCGGGGCTACGAGTGTGTGCGCGTTAATATTATTGAGGTTATTATTATTATCGTCCTGCGAGGTTTGTATTTTAAAAATAACCCTGTGTATTGTATGCAAACAACTTACAATGTTATTTGTCAAGGTGAAATAGACAATGAGTTAGTCGTAATATAATCTAATTTACATTACGACGGCCTTTTACTGAGCACGTATTTAGTTAATCGTGTTTTAATTAAATGGGGCACATAATGATGTGTCCCACTTAATATGAAGACATAAATTAGACTAAATGGGCCTTTTGAGCGTCTTTGAGAGAGAAGTTTCACCGGTGGTTTATAGTTGTTTTATGGCTACGTCTGCTTTTAAGGAAAGAGGTATAATTAAAGAACCTGCCTTGTTTGTGTCGGTATCATAATGACTATATCTTCAAAATAATAAAGATCAGCATAAGGACTACATCGCAAAACGACCACCTCTTTAGAAAGACTATAACTTACAATGACTTGGTAGCAAAACGACTAGATATCGAAATTACCATATCGTTGAACAGACGAAATGGCAAAACGACTCGGTAGCAAAGTAACTAGATTTAGTTATTGCTTTATTTTTCAAAGTACAGTTTGGTTAAACGTTTAGTGTCATCATAAAAAAAATAAACAATTTTTTTTTAATTGTATTTTTTCACGGCCAACCTTGCCAAATAAAAATTATTGTATAATAAAATTCTAATATCTCCAATGTGTTTTTTAAAATCACATGTGGAATATTCTGCAGCACATGCCTACATTAATCTACATTGCCTAAAAAAGAGACCGAGTTCCAGCGTTTAAAAATAATAGAAGCTTTAGCCACGCGAACCGTACGAAGACTGACATTACATTTCCCAAAAATATTTCCACTATTTCCGTAGCTCAGTTGGGAGAGCGTAACCACGGTTTTTTTTATAATACCAAGTGACGGGGCGAACAAGTCGTGCACCTGGTGGTCGCTTACCATACGCCTGTCCATAACAGTTGCAGTGCCACTCAGAGCTTTAAATCGCAAAGATCTTAGGGTCACTGCGCCCGTCACCCTGAGACATAAGTTGACAAGTCCCATGTGCCCGTAATTTCATCAGCACCTTTTACCCTTCCAAACCGGAACGCAGTAATGCTCACATTACTGCTCGGCGGCAGAAATAAATAAGGTGGCCGTATTTCCCTGGACGAACTCTTTCACAAGGACCTCTACTGCTGCTACTTCACGATATGGTAAAAGAGCCGTCCAAACATCGTAACAAACTTAATACAACGTAAACAAATATCTATTTACAAAGAGCTAGTTTTGTAAGCCTGGAAGTGGCGACGTATTTACGTTAACTCCGACACATATGCGACGTTTTTTCCTATACGACATTAAAGTATTACCTATTTTGATAAACAACAAAGTCAAGGCTGTGATAATCCGTCAAAAACGCAATTTACTACGTCACGAGTTTTATTTACGACCGTACTCCGTGCAGAGGAAGGGGTAATAAATAATACTTTGATACACTTTTGTTCGTATATCGCTTCCAGTGCAACGGAACAAGAGCCGTCAATGTGTAGCTTCAAATGTTGCCGACTGTACTACAGACGTAGCAACAGTCATGCACCAAAATAACCCCAATTTGTTTCAATTGAACAATCGTTCAAATCGCTTAACACAGCTAGGTGTATGGACTGCAGTCTATTGGATAATTTGCCTCAATGAACTGGGGCGTCATAAAATGGACGGGTCACATTATTTCGAAAGATCTTTAAAAGTCATTTTGAACTAAAACAGCACCCAATTGTTCGAATTAGAGTTACATCCAGGGAATATTGGTCTCGTAAATTTCCGAGTCCCGATGATTTTTTGGCATTTTCGAGACTTGCAACTATTTTTTTTATAATATCAAGTGACGGGACGAACAAGTCGTGCGCCTGATGGTCAGCTAGACGCCTGTCAATAACACTTGCAGTGCCACTCAGTGCTTTAAATCGTAAAGACCGAGGGGACTGACACTGCGCCCGTCACCCTGAGACAAGTTGATAAGTCCTATGTACCAGCACTCTTACCCTTCTAAACTGGAACGCAGTTCTGGCATCGAATTAGTTTTTATGTATTGTAAAGAAATGAATTGTAATCTGACAAACTTTGTGATTGGCTATGTAAGTAGATTATTCAGAATTGTAAACCAAACTTAAAAGCTGTAAAGTTTGCAAATAAATTAATAAATAAAAATAAATGGAACTACATTAAACGAGGTAGAAAAATCAACTCAAAACGACACTATGAAAAAGATGGACACGTCTTTTCCAGTTTGCTGGTTTGGATCACAAATCGTGACCCGAGGAGGTGGCATGACATTGAGACGAATGACAGTATCCTGTGGACATGGCCACGATCGGTCTCTGTCTTGACAGATCTTGACAGAGTGGATCTTGATCCAAACGTCAAAACGATGGACATATGTCACCTCTAATTTAGGTCATAAATTCGTGACGCGAAGAGGGGGCGTGGCATAGAGTTGAGTGACAAAACCCCAGACCCCGTAGCATCCCGCTGCGATAAAGCTATTATATCCACAGTTAGCTGTCAAATTCTAGCGATAAAATTTTAAAATTTTATCACAATAGTTAACATGGCGAGCACGTGACGTCATATTTTGTCGCATCGCGAGCCCCGCGATCAATGGCTGCACGGTCACAGCCGATTTTAAAATATTTTGTCAGTTCTGGACAGTAATTTAATCAACGTAAAAATTGAGCGCGACAAACGATACAATAAAAACAAATAACGAAATAATAAAAACAAATAAATTGATAGGTATAATAAAAAATATGAACACGTGTCTCCTCTAGTTCTCTGGTTTGAATCATAAGCTCATGACCCGAAGTGGCAAGGTGACATCGAGATGAGTGCAGCATCCCGGGAACACGACAGCTGTCAAGAGCGAAACGACAAAGAACGTTTGGGTCATAACCTTTGCCAATAAGCGGGACTGAAAACAATGAAAAGTAAAACTCGTATTTTTTTGCAATAATTATAAAATTCACTTGAGATAAACTTAGGGAACCTAGGCGTTGATGCCTAAACAAAGCACAGCACAGGAAAAGAGAGTAGCAGGTAGACGAGAGGGAGGCAAGGTGATGTATGTGGTAGGCATCGGTATTTGAAAATGTACCAAAACGTGCTATCTATTAGGCAGTATTTTGTAATAACCTTGCACCAAAGTAAAGGTGATAACAAATCCTATAACAATATAACTCTTTGGCATAAAAACCTACAATGTAGGAAAATGACTCAATTTATCAATGCAATGTTTTTGTTTTGTTTACAAACAAAGGGGCATTTACTGGTTATGAATATAACCAGCCCATAAATTCTCTGGAGATTCTGAAACATTTTACAAGCAATTACGAGTACACTGCTCAAAATGGACTCGGTTTTGTGTGCGTTCTTGTCCAGATTTTATACGAGTTCATTAAAAAGCTAGGGGCTGCTATTCTCCAGCAGAATACCGGACAATGAGTCCTATGTAAATAAATCAATGTAAACAACTTGTTTACAAACAAAAACAAAACAAAATGTCCACCAATCAATAGGTAAAAGTACCAGGCGAACATAATCTACGTAGAGGTTTCTCTTATCAGTGTATTAGCCGGCTGAATTTAGAAGTCGAAAAGTTAATAATGCAATTCATTCAAGTGTCATGCATCTTTTAATTTGCCGCTTTATAGAAGCGATACACAACACACGAGCTTGTTTACTTTCGAATTTTAAAATTACGCAGAAAGAAAATAGTGTAGTAAACGTTGCTGCCGCCATGTTTTTTCGATTTAAAAATGTAAACAATAAGCATATGTAGTAAATTACCTATTGCGTATAAAGTATGTATGAAATCAAAAGCGGGTATCGATTGCACGATTACCATAAACGATTGTAGCTAATATCCTTGAATACACGCATTGAATTTCGACATAAAATTATTGTTCATTCATTAACACTTACCGCTCAAATCTTCGATGGTATTTAGCTTTTTCGTCGCCATTCTCACGTTGTACGTGATCACAACACAATAAAATACTGTTTCGTTGTTTATTTAACACTTTTCAAATATATCTTCGCGAACTTTTTGCGTAGTAAAATTTGTAGACAACAAAACGTCGACAAACGAACGAGACGTTTCTTTGTTGTTTTGTTGGCGAGGGGGGACTGAATGCCGAGAACGCGCGGGAGGAAATCACTCGATCAATCACAGCCAATAGGAAGACACGACGTCGTAAAGAAATGTAGTGATTGGCTTATTGACTTGTAAACAAAATTCAATGTTGCTACTTTAAAAAATAAATTTAAAAATACACTCGCTAACTCGCTTTGTAATATTCTTTTTGCAGTATATTTGTCTTTACAAAAATTGATAATTAAGTGAATTATAAGTAAATTCAATTGCTCTTTACATTTTCAAGTAGTACAAACAAGACAAATGCATTGAAAATATTTTATCCTCATGTTGTCTATGGAACAATGTCATCGACCTATATAAAGGCATTCAAAGACTATCAATCGCAATCAAAATTATCATCAAAAATAAAACACATTACTGTCAATTACAATTTTATAATGTGTACGAACTTTTTACGTATACGTACGTACAGTTATGAATTTCATTGCCTTACTGTGTACTTACGTAGTTTTTGAGCATTTACAAACTATAACGGTAGTCTTAGGTTAGTAACAGTCATAAAATTAATTCTTGTTTAATAAAATATTGTGTGCTGGTGGTTTGATAAAACTTTTTTTAAGTATTTAGCTTACGTATCTATTGTCAAGAGTGCCTCAACTTTGACTGTAAACTTTGAACCGTTTTTGTGACAAGCACCATAGCGTCGGCTAAATTTGAAAACCTCGTAACTTCGTTCTTGAACGACAACCTTTTTTAATCATCCAGCGCAATGTCGGGCAATTAAAGCTTGAAATATAATTTGCAGATCTTCTTTTAGTTATAAAATAAAAGTTTAGATTGTGATGTAATTATTCCTAATAATACTGTTTTTGTACCAACTCAAAAGTACACATTAATGAAGGTTACGGAAAATGTTATGTATGTTCTTACCTATTAATAATATTTATTTATTCTATTCATTGACTTACAATTATATGGACGTCGGGTCCGCGCTAAAAAGTGTCCGCACTTGTAAGGCGCTAAAATCGTATACAGAGCGCCAAACTCCGCTTTAGTCTTCATTTGTTCTACTGACAGCGCGATACTGCGATGACATTACAATTTAAATTTCGAATAGGTTGACCTGGGACATTTTTTTCGTGGTTTTTGTATTAGACCCGTCGTCCATTTATTTGTAAGTCAATGATTCTATTACTAAAAGTTTTCATTGGAAATAATCGAGTCACTTGTAAAAAGCAGGCTATTTTTTAGTAGTAGTGGATTTGTTAACAGGTTATAAGGGGCCATTCATTATCCTGCATTGCAGTCTGCCTTTCCGTCCACCGCGTAATGCAGAAATATTAGTCGCAGCGCGCAAGCCATCCTGCAATTCTATAATACGTCCTGGCAGACTTCATACGTGGGCTATACGCAGAATAGTCTGTCAGAAATCTCTTGCCTGCGAGGCGGACTGCCATTCAGGTTGTGAATGGGCCGTTCAAGCTTTAACGGTTTAATAGACATCCCTATCGTAAGTGAATAATCAAATCAAGTGTTTTGTGCAGAGAGTTAAAAGATCTGTCATGTTTCGTGACAAAACGTAAATTAAAAATAAAATTTTGCATCACGCACACGTTTTTCTAATAAATAATTAACCGATCAATCATCAATATTGGTGGTATCAATCGGCTTTAAAATCATCGTGCACATTTTTTTTATGACAACACCAGTTATCTCTATTTTGTCTATAACTCATTTTCGCAAAATTGGCTGATGACGTACACTTTCTAACCGCTGCATTGTAACAAATTTATTATACACAAATATCAAAATGAGCGTAAAAACTGGTGAAGATGATGCCCTGTCTTCTAGAAGTCCAGGTGAAATCGATAGTCCACGGTAAGTTCTAAATTTCACTCATGAAATTAATGAAATTTCGGTGTACACATGATATGACAGCTGATTTAGAGCGGTAAAAGTTGAAATGGCGGCAAAGCGAATTTTACGTTATAATTTTATTTTAACGCAAAAGCACTTAATAATTGTTTTTTTCAGCAGCAAAAAGATGCGTTTAGAGAATTCTATGCGTAAAGGATGGAGTTTAATGGACAGAAGGACCGATCAAGAGGTAAAAACTCATGACGTGGATTACCTTCCCGCTTTTTTCAGTTTTCGTTTTTGGTTAGAAGTAGTATAATTACGCCAATATTTCGCATAATACAGTACCAGAATCTTATTGAGATATTGCAACAATGATTTAACATACATATCGTCTAAATTGGCTTCAAAAAGTATTTTGTATTAATGCATCCTGTATTTTGTATGAGGTTTTAGTCACGCGTTTCAAGAGCCCTTGTTATCAGATATTATAATAAAATATCAAGCTTTCTTGTATTATTGACGAACTAAGTGGTTAAAACTCTGGGTGCGGCTCGACGAAGTTTCGGGTTCCATTCCCAGCGAGACGAATTTATGCAATGAACTTTCTAAATTGGTTCCCGGAGTTAATAAGTTCTGATACTTTTGAATATTATTAGACACATGTTCTGTCTCGCAGCTGGGCAAAGACCGGACAGGGATGTCCCGGTTTCGGGCAACATCTGGCCAAACCTTTAAAATAGAGTTGGGTTTTCGGGCTTCCATTCCCTGATTATTTTACACTCACTTTGTGTTAATCTTGGCAGTAGAGCTCCTTGTGAAAGAGTTCGTCCAGGGCAGTACTGCCACCTTACCTATTTCTGCCACCAAGCAGTACTGTCAGCATTACTGTGTTCCGGTTTTGAAGAGTAGGGCTGCTGGCGAAATTACAAGCACATGAGACTTGTCAACTTATATCTCAGGGTGACGGGAGCAGTAGTAGTGCCCCTGAGATCTTTGCGATTAAAGCTTTAAGTGGATACAATCAGGCACACAACTTGTTTGTCCTGTCACTTGATTTTATAAACAGAAACCAAAACTCTTCGTACTCTCTTCTGTACAGTACAAGGGTTTCCTTAGTCTGGTTGCCTAGTCTTATAATGGCATGGATTTGCCAATGGCACAAACGTGAGGCACTAGCCGATTGTTTCCAAGGGCATGACAGACATACAGCGAAGGAATGGTATGTCATGCAGAGAGGTTCCTTTCGTGCACCCCTGCACTGTACAACAGACTCTGATGTTTCAAATAAAAAAAAAAATGGTAAATGTTATTTACAAAGAGCAACCCCTAGAGTTTCTTGCTCATTCTTCTCAGGGGAATCTGCTTTACGAATGAGCGGTAGAGTTTAACCATTGTGATAATTTCAAGTGTAATAATGCTTACCTATGAAATAAAGATTATTTTGAATTTGAATAACATATCAATGGTTTTTTAAAAATAGTGGCATTTATTAAAAACACTTGCGATGATTAACAAAACAACTGAAACGTATCTGATGCACCGTATCCTTGTCCAATGTTGTCATTGAGTTTTATTAACCAATGAAAAGCTTGTTGTCTTAGTTAAAAAACATTTAGGACATTCTGAGTAAAGTTGTGTCTTCTTCATCCTGTCCTTATCTCACTAGATGGGGTCGGCGCAACATAAGTATTTATTTTTTGTCCACTCTCCCCTATCAGCCGTTATTTCCACCTAAACCTAACATTCTTCTTGTCACGTGACATTCTTCCCTCCGCATGTCCTTACCTCGCTTAACCTTTTACTCATCTTTTCAATCACTGCCACTTTTCATTACCCAGCATTCTGATCCATACAGTAGTAGAAAGTACTGAAGTTGTGTAATAAGCAAAATTAAAATATTTTTATATTTGGGCCGATATTTTTGGTAAGCAGTGTTATTAATTTATTTATTTATTAACCTATTTTATACTGACATTTAATTTAAAAAATATTAAAATTATATTGACAATTATATTCATGAATTACTTAAACTATAACATCAGCACATCCTGAAGACGTATCTATCCCCCAGATCTATCCATCCGGCTCTGTCCCTTGTTAGCCTAGTCCGTAGAGATCCACCTATTTTTTTAAAGTCGTTGGACCATCTTTTAAATGGACGACTTCTTTTCCTCTTGGCGTTTTCTCTTGGTAACCATTCTGTTACTTTTCTGGCCCACTTTTCTATTTTTTCCCTGTACATGTGGTTAGTCCAAATCCACTTTTGCGTTTTAATTTTTGTGGTGACATCCTCCAATTTGATGATCCTTCGTATGTCCGTAGTTTCCATTTTGTCTCTTAGAGAAAATCTCTCTATAACAAAGTAATAGTTCAGAAAAAAGTGTTATTCGTGTTGTAATGACTTATGCCTTATTCAGTTTTGACGCTTCTATAAATTTTGTATTCGTATTTAGAGAGTGTTTTAACGCGGTCTATTGTATGTTTTTTTTATAATACCAAGTGACGACACGAACAAGTCGTGCGCCTGGTGGTAAGCGACACGCCTGTCCATAACAGTTGCTGTGCCACTCAGAGCTTAAAATCGCAAAGGTATTAGGGCAGTGCCACAGCGCCCGTCACCCTGAGACATAAGTTGACAAGTCCCATGCGCCTGTAATTTCACCAGCACCCTTAGAGCGCGTTCCCATTATTTCGTAACGTTTTATTTATCGTTGGATAACTGTCGTGTCTGGTTGTTCTCACTAGATCGTGACGACAATTTATCGGTTCACGGCAGCCACCTTGTCGTTTGTCGGCAGAATCAAAGTCAAAGTCAGATAATAATTTATTCCATAGGTAAAATTTTTACACTTGAAAACGCATTGACTTACAATTATATGGACGTCGGGTCCGCGCTAAAAAGTGTCCGAACTTATAGGGCGTTAAAATCGTATACAGAGCGTCATTCACGCTTTAGTCTTCGTTTGTTCGACTGACAGCGAAGCAAGCAAAATTGGACAGTACTGCGATGACATTACAATTTAAATTCAACGTTTTAGCTTTTTCATATTCCTTTACATGTTTAAATAGGTTGACTTGGGACATTTTTTTCGTGGTTTTTGTATTAGACCCGTCGTCCATTTATTTGTAAGTCAATGTGAAAACGTTATTTTTTTAAGCTACTGCTCGTTCACTACGCCGACCTCCCTGAGAAGAACGAGCAAGAAACTCTATGGATTGCTCTTTTCAAATAAACTTAAATGCTATGGAATAACACTTTGAATCATAATTGTGTGGAATCTAGACTCTCGTTGTATTTCCATACTTCTTTATCTAAAACATACTCTTCAATTTTGTAATATGACTTTTGAAAGAAATCGTTTCCAGCTGCGATTATCTGTCGTCACATTTTTGTCGTGTCGTTTTATTTATTCAGACAGTCCGTCGTAACATCAAGGAAGTCGTGAACGACAATTAATCATGTTGTTCTATGTGTGAACAAGTACATTTTAAACTGCACGACTATCGGTCGTCACGACATAATGGGAAGTCGCCCTTGCCCTTCTTAACCGGAACGCAGTAATGTTTACATTACTGCTTGGCGGCAGAATTAGGTTAAGTGGCAGCACTTCCCTGAATATGTATTAATTAAATTTTTATTGAATTGATATTCAATTATTTTTTGTGAAAATTACTCCACTAGTTTATTATAATGAATAGCGATATCTCTCGCCAGGACTGGTAGCTGTAAAGGTACTAACTGGATGATAAATCTGTCAAAGATTTCTCATAGATGGCGCTACGACTAAAAAGTCGTTGAAAGACCAAGTACAAACACACGACGCAAGCACATAGAAAAATTCGTGAGGTCCGTTGGTTCGTTCCGTGGCTTAGTTGGTATAGCGTCTGGCACGGTATGCAAGAAGACGTCGGTTCGAATCCGACCGGATCGAAGGAATTTTTCTGAGTGTTTTTTCTGAGTGTTCGATCTTTGTATTAATATGTATGTATTAGTATTTTTTCATGTATGAGCCTTAATTTGTATTAACGAAATCATTATACCATCAGGTACTCCAAGAGATGGGTGTAAGTTTGCTAGAGCCAGACGATGCGGAAGCTCATCACGATACCAGCTTGGTAAGTGTTGTTTAACTTTATTCCAAATTCTATAGTTGCGATCTGCCGTCCACCAACTAAAACGCGGTAAAGTGACAAATGGTCAAATATCCGTTTTAATTAGAAAAAAATAGAATAGAATAGAATAGAATATCATTTATTTCTTGTAAATATGGTAAGTACAATATAAATTAGATGTTACAAATTAAAATAGAGTTCAGCATATTTTGCCAACAAGCGGCATAGAAATATTTCAATAGTCATAATATTTGTGATGAAACATGTCAAATATAAAACTTATCAAAAATACAATTAAATGTCAGAAATTTATAAAAAAAATAATTTATAATATGATTAAAATTAAATTGTCACAAGTTATCATGCAGGAAATCACTGACATTGTAATCAACCTTATCCCTTCCTCTCCTTTCCATCAGCGGACCACCCGTGCCGGACTGCGTTGCCACAGTTGGACGGTCAGTTCAATACCGTCCCGCACTAAAAAGTTTGGCAATTCGTTTTTATGCCGAACCATCAAATTGTGGAACCAACTCCCGGCGCATGTATTCCCTCCCCTCTATAACATCGGGTCCTTCAAACGTAGTGTGAAGAAGCATTTGGCCAGACCGGCAAAATGATAGTGACGGAGTGAAGATATTTGTGTTTTCCATCCGTTACTCTCATCTTTGGACTGTATTCGCACTTTCCATCAGGCGCGGTGCAGTCATTTTGCCGAGTCACAATAAAAAAAAAATAAAAAAAAAAAACATTTTTCAATCAATAGTGATGTCAATTTCTTTTTAAATAATGATAATGGTAGTGATCTTATGTCTTCCGGTAGTTTGTTATAGATTTTAGGAATAAAGCACCAAATTCTGTTTTAAAAACAGTTAAAATTAGTCAACGTGTTCGGCTTATGGGTACCTAACGATGCATAGCTGAAATACCATTAAACAATTTCCATATTCTAAAACTGGGTTATGGTTTTTTTATGATGATCTCAAAAACATTTTATCACTTTACCGCGTTCTAGTTATCGAACGGTAGCGATGCCAGATCTATGGATGTACTTGTGCCATTTACCACGATCCTGTGCTAGTCTCACCCACCTGCAACTTTGGCAATGTCGTCCACCCGTCTCGCCACACTACGTCACACGTTTCTATATCCAATTCTTGGCCAGATTTCGTTGGAAGGCGAGCGCGGTCACTGTAATTCTCGAGCATTCGCGAACCTTCTCGCGGATTCCCCAGAATTCTCTCGAAAGCGCGACTATTCCGCAAAAGACGCGTGACTTATTTTTTGGCTCATTCAAGTTCATTATGCTATGTAGAGTATTGATTGCGCCGGTCCTTTGTGGGTTATACTGAAGGGACTTTGTAAGTAAAACCTCCTTGAGACTGCTGACTTGACTTTACTTTACTAATTTTGGAAAATACAAAATAATTGATGTGCACAGTCCGGAGATTCACTACGCAATGAGGACGCCGCCCGGTAGCTGCTGCCTGTTGACATCTGTAGGATCCATTGCTAATGCATATTCGTCAGGCGTCACGAATGGCCTGAACAGTATCGTTACAAAAATTTGCTTCCATTCCGTTCCGCCGCAATGTAAATTGAGCCTTAAATTTAGCAGAATTGGTGCCGAAGTGTATGGTGTGATTTTCTGGCACATTATTATTATTGTTTCCAGCACAACAAACCCTCCCTAAAACGCAAGCACAATCAAGAAAATATAAATCCTAATAAGAAAAGCTCACCCAACAAGAGCCCTAGCAGCCCTAAAACTAGACTTAGCCCTGGACCAGGACCTTCCAAAGTGAAAAGTCCACGGAGCGCTGATAAAAGTAAGTATATAAGTTCTGCGCCTGGTGGTTAGGGATAGGGATACACATTACGATTCTATTTTTATGAATTCAAATGTATACGATCTAGTCATTTCTTGTATCGATACATTTCAATGCGATTTAGTAAATCGATTCAACAATCGTCTCGATCAGCCTTTCCCAAAGTGTTGGGGGCGGTAAGAGACCCAGAAGATTCAGAAGATCCAGAGATTTGTAATTTCATCTAGGAAGACTCTTAGACACCGACTGAGCTCTCGAGTCTCGACTACAACTTGTGAACATCAACTAATATTAATTAAGAGATTGCTCAAACTAACTCGGTTCGATATTTCTCTCTGTGTAGTTATGAACTATATATCTGTCTTTATATCTGTCCTGTTTTATTGAATAAATAAAATAAAAATCATGTCAATCGGTCGCTCCGTTTCGAAATGAAAGTAGACACAAACAAACAAATAAAAAGACAACAGACACAGTTTCGCGTTTTAATAGTTATTAGTATTCCTAGATAGGTAATTTTTGTAGATAATAGACCGCGGATACATTGCTTATGCAATCCTATATAAACAACGTAATATTATAATAGTACGTCCCGCCACTTGATACAAATAAAAAGATATTATTTCCATTTATTATATCTTATTTTTGTCAGGTAAACCTCTTCAACCAACAGAGAATATACTGGAAACAACATTGGTATCAGACTATCAAATCGACGAAGAAACGCCTCTCGGACAATCCGTCAGCGCTACCTACCTCCCCGTTGCACAGAGTGGCAGCGCGAAGAAACACAAAGGCAGCGTTACACGTAAGTTCACATATTTGCCATAAGTCCTGAAGTCCTAAAACTCCTGTTGATCTTCTCACCTAATGCTACTCCCTGATGGATGTACGAAGTTCCGTACCTGGAAGGCACATACCAGAGGACATCAAATCTCTCGGAGCCAGGAAAATCCTTCATTCTTCAATGCTGTCGGCCTTGGCTCCGAATTGTAATTAGTGTAATTAGTGATCACAATAGATCAGCTGATGTTCGCAGTGATGAGGAGCTAATTCAACTGCCTCCGTGGCCGAACGGTTACCATGCCGGACTGCCACGCATAGGTCCCAGGTTCGATTCCCGGGCTGGGAGAAATATTTGTATGGCCTACATTTATTTCTCTCGTGAGTTTGGGTGTAATTTGTGGTTGTCTATGTGTGTGTCCATGGCACCCGCGACACAGGGTTTCCCTAGTGCGGGGCTATGTTGAGTGTGAGCGTTATTATTAAAAAAAAAAAAAAAAAAATTACGAAGGCTGCGGCCGGAGGACTTAAAAAAAAACAAAAAAGATTTTATAGAAACTAAAATTTAATTAAAATAATTCCTAAGCTAAACAACAAGAGTGGTTGCGATCGATGCAAGATCTACAATGTCTTTTTAACATTAAATTTATTTTAAACATAATTAATTAGGTTACGCGGGTTTTTCGATATCGCTGACTCGTCGCGTGGTCACTGCGCGTGTACGAATCTATGTCGCAATATCTATTGCGGCTTCAGCTGTTTACGTGGGGTGCATCTATGTAACAAGCTGCATATGCCCCGAATGACACCACCCTAACAATAATAAAGTGTTTTTCAACAAGAACTTTGTTTTGTAAATCAAAATAAAACAATAAAAGATGACAATGATTCAAATATTTATTGTATTAAAAAATGGAAGGTTTGGCAATTATGAATGAAAAATGATATCTGATAAATGTCCACCACGACCACAGTTACAGATGTCGATTCTTTCATCAAAGTTTTTAATCGCTTTTTGACAAAATGGTGGGTCTATTTCGTTAATCACGTCAGGAATTTCGAGTTTTAAAGCTGCAATCGATTCGCTTGGCTCCGTATAGACTCTGTCTCTAACATAACCCCATAAAAAAGAATCCAGCGGTGTTAAATCATATGATCGAGCTGGCCACTTAACGGCTGAATTTCGTGAAATTATGCTATTGGGAAATTTAGTTTGCAATAAGTTCATTGTTTCGTTGGCTGTGTGACTTGTGCCGTTGGCATTGGGCTGTTATTTTTTCGAAAATTCGGCTGGAAATGCGGTTACGGTCAATCGATTACGCTGTCGAGAGACGTTAACAACTCAATTTTGGCCACAAACATGTGGTTTCAACAAGACGGTGCCACAAGTCACACAGCCACCGAAACAATGAATTTATTGCAAAAATAAGGTATTTAATTAATAACTTTTGTAACAATAGTGAAAAAATAGGGTGGTTTACTTTAATGTTAGACATAACTGGCTGATGACTCTACCACCTCAGTCAACCGTGGCCATGGAACCTGTAAAGGGCCCGAAACGGCGGTTTGTTTGAGAAAAAAAAAAAACAAATAGACGCGATTTGAATTTGGAAAAATAGTTTTAGGGTCGTATTCTAGAACTCTACTCAATGCTCAAGTCAGGATTGCACTGGAAACAAGCACTGGAAATACGACCCTAATGGCAGAGACTTGAGTATGATATCGAGTGCTTTAAACCATACTCAAATCCTGACTTGAGCATTGAGTAGAGTTCTAGAATACGACCCTTAATTTCCTATGTGTAACAATCGACCCCAAGATCTAATAAAGATATAATAAAAATAAAGTTATAAAAGAGAAAATGAAGTTTTTTAAAAAAAAATGGTTAAATCAAAATGCAATGAAAGTTTCTATATAAAATATGTCTTCGTATCTGTATGTAAGATAAATAAACTACTTAACTATCTAACAATTTAAGTACCTACTTAATTTTAACTATTTTTGTTATCTGGCATATTATTTATTATTTAAATCAGAGGTTACCAGACTTTTTTGCTCATAGATCACTTTCAAAATGTAGCTGGTTCCGGTGGACCCCCTGCAGCTACATTTCTAGCATATTCCCAAAACTCGACAAAAATGTGAAGATTAGATCTAACTGTGGAAGTTTGCAACGCAAATTGCTGAGTTCCAACCACAAATTAATAGTTTTCGAAAAAAAAAGTGAGAATTTAATTTATTGTGCTGTGAGTGGACGTCAAAAAAGTAAAGATACGTTGTACTGAACATGGAATATGCAAGTTTTTACAAGTAACAGTCGCTGAGCTTCTTAAAATATTATCTGCCTGCGTTGATAGGTGAAGTTAAGCCAACATTTTGGTTCACTATCGAAAGCAGATAAATTTTAGTGGGCCCGCTTACGAATTATGAACCTCATTTTTTTGTTACGCCAACGTAGACCCCTTTGGGAACTAAGGATTTAAATATTGCATTTTTTTCCTCAGCACTCGGCCGGGAGGAAGAACTAATAATTTCCCGTCGATTGCAATCTTCTCCAACCGGTACCGACTCGTTCTCAGCGTTATCAGATGAAATGCTGCTCAGTGTCTTCCGCTGGCTGCCAAAACGAGCGCTCGCGCATTGCATGCTGGTCTGTAAAAGGTACGTGACTCTACCGACAACAGCTTTTTTGATACAGGCTGTAAGTAATAATCTCCGATCATTATTTAATGGTTGTCGTCATTGACTTACAAATAAATGGACGACGGGTCTAATACAAAAACCACGAAAAAAATGTCCCAAGTCAACCTATTTAAACGTAGTGACATGTAAAGGAATATGAAAAAGCTAAAACGTTGAATTTAAATTGTAATGTCATCGCAGAACTGTCTACTTTTGCTTGCTTCGCTGTCAGTCGAACAAACGAAGACTAAAGCGTGAATGACGCTCTGTATACGATTTTAACGCCCCATAAGTTCGGACACTTTTTAGCGCGGACGACGTCCATATAATTGTAAGTCAATGGTTGTCGTACTTTAATTATATGAATGTTTTTTATAATACTTAGTGATGGGACGAACAAATCATGCGCCTGGTGGTAAGTGACATGCCTGTTCATAACAGTTGCAGTGCCACTCAGAGGCTTAAATCACAAAGATCTGAGGAGCACTGCCTCTGAGACAAAGTTGACAAGTCTCATGTGCCTGTATTTCACCAGTACCCTTGCCTTCCAAAACGCTTTCTTATAGTTTGTCGGAGTAAAATGACATTTGTAGGGTTGCCAATTTTCATAACATTTTCAATAGTTATGTAGTTGTTGTCGATAATTTTATCGATAGATAGTGAAACAAGATAAAATTTTGCTAAAAATTACTGAATTGTGAATGTTACGACGTTCTAATGATCACTAATTGGGTTATTGCCTTCTTTATTCTTATTTTGACAGTTGGTCTACTAGTATCTAGATCAATTTTTATTCATATATATTTTAACAAGAATAGCCGGATTTGATTATCTATACTGAATCTCCTCTTTGTGTTTTTCATGAACATTGTTGTATATGTATGTATGAACTTACAAAAATGGACAAATCAAATGATCTTGTGCTCAGTAATTTGATGAATAATGAGTTGAGGATGATTCAAATGAAACAAGTTGGGCTATTTATTCTATAAGAGTAACCAATATTCAGTCGATAGTCGATAGAATATTTATCGATTGCAGTCACTAGCTGCTTGTAAGCTGGCAACACTTTTGCGTAACGAATTTTACTCTGTCTTTAAAAAAGACAGTCTATAATTAGCATAACGTCTGGCACGGTATGCTGGGATACGTTGGTTCGAATTCAACCACATCAAAGCGAATTTTTTGTAAGTGTTACTTGTATAGTGTTTTACAAATAACCCAGTACAAGTGAGTTAATAGTTAACAGTTCGAATGTTATATTAATTTAACTATCTAGTAAGTATTTCAGTTTTTAATTTTATTTTAAATTTCAGATGGCACAGAGTAGCTTGCGACGAAACACTATGGCAAAGACTGGATCTAGGCAATAAGACATTGGCTAAAGATGCTCTTGCCAGGATACTAGCCAGGAAACCTGTTATAGTTAGGCTAGCTAATTCTGAGGTATGTACTTTCTAAGAAATTGTTACGTAGGCGTCACTTGAATGAAAAAAAAAGACTCACACGGTGTTGCCCACAGAACAATAAATACAGTAGAAGTGATTAGTTAGCATGCGACACGTGACAAGTACAGGTGTCGAAAGACCTACGTGAGCTCAGTTCGCCATTTTCGCTTTGTATAGCATGGTTGTGTTATTCTTTCGTGCAATTTCTCTAAAATCCTAGAAAAATGCCTGATTGTGTATGCTGGAGGTAGTCATTCAGTTTCACGACGTCCGTGAATCGCGGGTCCGTCGGGCCTGACTTCGGCCCTGCTGTTGCTGTAGCAGAAAGTAATAATTTGCTATATTTGGGTATATAACCAGAAAGAGACGAAATGTCATTTAAGTTGTTTGCAAACTATTCTGCCAAAGCATTACGGTGAAAACTGCGCTCCGATTGGCCAGCCAAGGGCCAGCCCGAACTCGAAACAATTGACGAGTGTCATCAATTGTTGAAGTGAAACATCGACCACTTTCAACTTGAGCTTTGCTATAATGGACGAAAATTGAATATTAAAATATTTAATTACCGATGAAATGTGATTCCGTTTGTTTTGTAATTAGATATTTTGCTGTTTTTGAGTGCAAAAATGATAGCGTCGCTAAAAATATCACCCGTAGTGGTAATTCATATCACCGTCTTAGTTTAATAAATTTTAAATTTCCTGTTTATCGAAAGTAAGGCTTATACCCCTGCCATATGGTCGCTTATTTTTTGGAAATCTTAATGACTCCAATTCGTCGTTGTTCCGCAACTAACCGCTAGATGACAGCACATTGATTGAAATTTCAATATAATATCAAAACGTCGTAACTTGCAATAGGTATTGATGGTATTTAACTTCCAACGATATGTCAACAGGGTAAAGTTTCAATTATATTAACAATCCAGAATTTGTTATTTCTTTTTAAATTTGAAGCTGCCAGAAACTACGACCAATCAATATCAAGATTTTGTAATGTTTCAAATAAAGAATGTGTGAGTTTTGACGACAGCGGTTCCGATAGTAATCGAGGCTTAAAACACTTCCATTGTTTGTTTTCTTTCGTAGTAAATCCCCTCCTGAACAAATTGTCTTTACTCCGACCAACCCAGGTTCGAAGCCTTTTTACAGACTTCCAGATAGACCATGGCAATTCTTGTCCATTACGAAGACTCACAGAAGACGAGATAGATAGATAGATAGACAGAAAATTCTTTATTGTTAGCACCATATACATAGAGAGATTACAGGACAAAAATTAAACACATTAGCAGAGTAACAATTGGCAGTCTTATCGTTTACAGCGATTTCTTTCCAGACAACGTTAGGATGGAGAGAGACTAAACATGAATAAAAGAAGTGGTCCTAGATATAAACATTTACACTTTCATATACTAATAATATATATGATAGTATGTATGTGTATATATATGTGTGTGTATGTGATATATATATACACACATATATATACACATACATGTGGATTCAACAAGACGGTGCCACAAGTCACACACCCACCGAAACAATGATTTTTTTTAAATTATTGCAAACCAAATTTCCCGACCGCATAATTTCACGAATTTCAGCCGTTAAGTGGGCAGCTCGATCATGTAATTTAACACCGCTGGATTATTTTTTACGGGGTTATGTTAAAGACAGAGTCTATACGGAGCCGATCGATCGATTGCAGCTTTAAAACTCGAAATTCCTGACGTGATTAACGCAACAGACCCACCATTTTGTCAAAAAGTGATTAAAAACTTTGATGAAAGAATCGACATCTGTAACTGTGGTCGAGGTGGACATTTATCTGATATCATTTTTCATACATAATTGCCAAACCTTACTTTTTTTAATACAAAAATATTTGAATCTATGTCATCTTTTATTGTTTTATTTTGATTTACAAAACAAAATTCTTGTTGAAAACCCCTATATATAATATCGCACTGCTATTACAATAGTGTTGTAACTCTACATATGTGAAATTTAATATTATATCATGACTGAACATTGACTTACAATTATATGGACGTCGGGTCCGCGCTAAAAAGTGT